AAAAAATCCAGCCAAAAGGCCAGCAACAGCATTCTTTTCACTAAACCAAGGACTTTGGTTCATTAGAAAACTAGAAAAAAACAAAACAAATGAAAAAATTGTTCGTCATATAAATGAAATAACGTCTTACTTGCCTGAGAATGATGACATCAATGACAGGAATGTTAGTTTTTATAGAGCAATAGAAAATATATATGAAATATCAATCTTGTCACTCTAGTTCTTTTTCTTTTTTGACCGCATGATTTGTAATATTTAAATTCTAACCTTAAGAAATACGTAACTTGTGGAAATATTTATTTTAGGTTTTCTACAGGGCGTCAGTGTGGATGCGGGTGATGATATTCATCTGTAAGACTTTGAAATATAAGAATGAACATATCTATTGTATTTTCACTATTATATGATCACTGATAATATCGCATATGTTTAAAATAAAGAAAACTAAACAATAGAAAAACATTAATAACGATAAGATGTTGAACAGAAATCTTTCTAACTTTTATAAACAAGAAAAATGCTTGTAAAAAAAACTTAATAACCTTCATGATCCATTAGAAATCCTAAACATTTTAATAGTAAACTTTTTATACAATATTACTCTAGTTTTAGTAATGTTTTATTTAACAAAACAGAATTAAAATTTAGTTATCTTGATTCTAGTAACAACTTCTTCTATTTCATGTAATTTTTTAGCTTGATAAACAACAAATACCCTCTATTTTAAATTTCAAAAGAAAATAAATTATTATTTTCATGAAATTGATCAATATAATCGATGTGTTTTTTTCTCACACAATGAAGTGCTCGTTTAGTTTGTTTTCAAGATATGAAAACTAAGTAGTTACATGATTGTCTTTCATGTTCTCCCTTCAAGAACGAAATATTGATAGTGATTTGAATAATGATAATGATAATATCATGAGTCGTCATTTTGATATTATATATGGTTATCTATTAATAGAAGTATGAAACGATTTATATGTTATATCTTTATAGTTATTGAAAAAAATATGTATCGATATTATTAATTAGAATGTATGTTTTATTTTTATAAATTGCTAACTAAAGTTTATCTTTGAAATCAGATAAATAACAATTTGGTTTTATATTCTCTAATTAATCGAAAATAAATATAACGAACTTAAAAATTTATAATATTTGTAACAAAGAAAAAAAAGGATTGTTATTATTATTCAATAGTGAAGTTTAAATATTTTTATTGAAATATCGTAATATCAATGCCCATTTACGTATATATCACACCTTCTACTAAAATCGATAAGTATAACTACTGTAACAAAAATAACAAATTACATCAAATTATGTAAGCATGACCAATACTCTAAAATGTATATAATGAAATACGTCAAACGACGCCGAAAGAAGAGACTATATAAGTTGAAATCAATTGCAAGAATATATTTAAATATTATAACTTTGTTTTTATCGTATTTTCAACATAGTAAACAAATATGAGTAAGGTTTTTTTTTGTAAAAAAAGTTTGTCAATTGAAATTTTTTTTCTTATTAGACTTTTTAGTCAATAACATTGAACGTCGTGTTGGCTACGATCTAAATGGTGATGGCTATATCGGCGGAGAAGGTAAATTAAAATCAATCTATATTTTAGATTTTTAATATTTTCTATTTGTTAGGATTTATGAGTAAATTAGAAAGACGAACTCATATTGATTTCAATCGTGATAATGTTATTGGTCGCCATCCTGATATTTATTATGGCTATCAAGGAGCATATGGTTCTGGATACAGTAGTTATCCATATACGAATTACGGGTATACTGGATATCCTTATTAATTTTTGATGAACATTAAATAAATAAATCTTTGATTATTTACTATTTCTTTATTAAAAATTCAAATTATGAATTAATTGAGACACTTGAGCACAACAAAGTATTAACTTTATGATTATATTTTTTTTTAAAATAAATAAAATAACAAATCTGAGAGTGAAAATTAAGATCATATTTTACGATTATGAAGAGATTTTATATAAAAATATGCAAAAATAAATGGTATAAGAGCAATAACGATAATAATCATAATGATATGCCAAAGTCTAAAACCACAATCAGCTTCATCACAATTTAATTCATTAGTTGTATTTCCTGTAGGTTTTAAAATTCTTGTTGATAATGACTGAGATATTAATGGATTAGAATTCAATATTGTTGATGATGGTGTATCAATTAATTGTTCAACTTTAGTACGCATTAATGCTAAATCTTGATCCATTGCATTTAAAAAAGCATGATGATTTTGTTGAGATAGATGTGTAACAGGTAATGAGATTGTTGATTGTTCATGTAAATCAACAGTTATTGATGATGATGATGATGCTTCATGAAGTACACCAAAACGTTGTACAGGTATTCGACAAGATGTTAATGCATAGAAATCTCGATCATTTTGTAAATTATTTAAACGTTTTAATTGAGAAATCTAAAAATGAATAAACATATATTGATTTTATTTCTTCAGAGAAATATATTCAACATACAGGTACTCGATATCGAATAGAGAATGCTTGAATAGTTTCATTTGGTAATATTGGTTTTTCAACAATAACAATTGAACCACCACCTTGTGCTGCTGGTTTAAAATTTTGTTTTGCATAACGAGTACGAATATTATGTTCATTATTTGATGTTGATTCTTCATCAGAATCCATTGTTCCTAATTCTATATCATTATTTTCAAATGTATATAAAAGTGGATCAGTTAAAGAATTATTTGCTTGATGAAATTTATAGTTTCTTTTTGTTTTTCCTTTACGTGAAGGAGAAAATAGAGAATCTTTTAGCATATTCATTATATTCAATAAGATTGGTTCAAAACAAATAGTAGTAACAAATAATTCAAATAAGATTAACAGCATAATCTGTTAAAAAAATGATCTTTCTTCAATAATGAATAATAACAAATACGGTTTTAATCATGTTGTTAATATGAAATATTTAATTAAATTTAAAAATACATAATATTTAGTTGAGGTTTGAAAGCGACGAGAGAAAAAAGTGTACGTCACATTATCGATGATTGGTCTCATATTTCTATAATACGCTCTAGTTACATTTTAGCGACATCTTTTATATTCTTTTTTATTATAAATACCAGTCTTTATCATATAACCTTTCAATCTTTCGACATCTTCTTGATGAGAGAGTAATGTTGTAGAACTGTTTATAATTAAATCGGTTAGTTATTCTAAACAGTTAGACATAACAGATCTTTCTACTGTTTATTGATGACATCTATATCATTATCAACATAAGAGGCAAATAAGAGGATGCGTTTTTTTCTCTTCAAATACAATTCGGTAATATGTGGAATACCTATTCTGTTTATTATTTATTATTTTTTTTGTACGAAAATAGCAGCATAATGATCAGTAATTCATTCTGGTGTCGGTTGATGATACAATGTTCAATCGACAAAAACTTTATATTGGACTGGGTATATCAGCCGCTGTGGGTTCCATTACAGTTCTTTACTTTTGGTACCGTTATTACCGACAAACATCATGTAAAATGACATATTTTATTAATATTATTTTAAAAATTTTTTTCTTTCTATTATTAAGCATCAAAAATAAATCGTTGTCCTAGTCCGACATCAATCCTTCCATCATTAAGATCAAATCATGATCATGAATTTATCGATATAAATTCATCATCTGAATTAGATAATGATGATTCAGATTCAATCCAAATTTTAAGTAATTATTTTATTTGTATATATATATATTTAAAATATGATTTAATATCTTTTTAAAGATGAAATACAGATCCCTGATGGTAGTGTTCCTTTGACACCTGATCAAGCTTCCATACTTACTCATTTTCTTTGTGAAAGTAATAATTGTGAAGAACAATTACATCTTGTTTTAACAAGTATTGCAAATGCATCAACATTTAAAGAAAGTAATACACTGTTTGATTTTACTCGAATAACAATTCATATTTATTATATTAAGGTCAAATAAATTTAGCAAATGCTGGATGTATTATACGTCTTCGTGATTTACTTTTATCAACAGATAATGAAACAACAAAATGTAAAATACTTTTAGCACTGAATAATCTTGCTTTAAATGATTTTGCTATAACTCAATTTTCGGTATGATTTTTATCGGTATTTTCATAATCTTCAAAGTTTTATTTTAGAATATTGTTACTATAGTAATCAATTTATGTTGTATAAGTCCGGCGAATTCAATTATACGTCTTCATGGACTTAATTTATTGATTAATATGTCTGTTCTTGAATATCTTCATGAAGAATATATGAATAATATTCATGTACTTGGTGTATTAATTGAATCAACAATTGAATATGATGATGAAGTATTATCAGCAGGAAAAATTCTTGTTAATTTATCCATTAATAAATTAAATCTTGAAAATTTACTTAAAATAACCGTAAAAAAACTCGAGATGTTCGGAAAAAAAATATTATTATTATTTTCTTTTAGGGTGTTGAATTAAAATATATTTTAAATTTATTTACATCAAAAACTGATCAATCAACAAAATCCGAAGATATTCTTCTTCGATTTCTTACATTCTATTGTAATCTAGCTGAAATAATATTTCATGAATTGAAAGAAAATGGAGATAACAATAATAATAATAATTTATGGTTATTTGATCCAATGCCACAACGTCAAGGTGCACTTTATTTTGAATTTTTTGATCATGTATGAAATTAATAAAAATTTCTATTCTTATCATATGAATTTAATTTTAGGATAAACAAGATCTAGCTAAATCTCTTCTTCGTCCACATTATGCATCATCTACAATCAATATACAAATGAAACGCCTTTATCAATTGATGGATAAAATTCATCAGTGTCAAATTCAATTATCAGTTTCATCTATTGGAACTAATAATGAGAAAAATTTTATTGGTGAATCTTTATTATCTAATCAAGCATAAACTAGTTATTGTTCAGTATCTATGCCTAAATTCTTTCTTTTATTATTTAGTGTGATATATTCACTATTTCCTTCCATATCTATTAAACCAAAAACGCTTTCATGTTTTTGATATATAAAATATATATATATACATATACATTTTGCTTTCAGATTGTTTTCTTAATACTTATATATAACATTCGGCCGTTATAATGGGTGTAGATCTCGACCATCGTTTTGATCGCAAGGCAATACGCCGTGCACCACGCTCAAAAAATTTATATTTACTCTTACTTGTTAAACTTTACCGTTTTTTGGCACGTCGTACAAGTGCAAAATTCAATAAAATCATATTAAAACGTTTATTTATGTCGAATACACATCGACCACCACTTTCCTTATCACGTCTTGTTCGACATATGAAAAAGAAAGGTTAGTTTATTCATAAGAAAATTTATTATTTCTCTTTTTCGTTTTTGTTTTCTCAATAGGTCGTGAAAGTAAAACTGCTGTTGTTGTCGGTTCAATAACTGATGATGTACGACTTTATGAAGTACCTAAATTAACAGTTTGTGCTTTACATCTTACTGAACGTGTTCGAGCAAGAATTCTCGGTGCTGGAGGTGAAATTTTAACATTCGATCAATTGGCACTTCGTACACCAAAGGGTAAAAATACAGTTTTATTACAAGGTCCACGAAAAGCTCGTAAAGCCAATCGATTCTTTGGTATGTATATACAATGTAATATTATTTTTAATAAAATATTTTTGTTCTTTTTTTTAAGGTCGACCACCTGGTGCTCGTCATAGTACAACAAAACCTAAAGTTCGTTCAAAAGGTCGTAAATTCGAAAAAGCTCGTGGCCGACGAGCTAGCCGTGCTTACAAAAACTAAGCAATTAAAAACTGGTATCATTATCAACTTTACCATTTATGTAATTCATAACAACTTTGTTTTTCTTCTTGTGTAAAACAGCATAAGAGTATAAAAAAGAAACAATAAAAGAAAACATATACTAAAAAAAACATATGCACGTATTTCTTTCTTTATACGAATTAAATGCGCGAAAAATAAATCATAGAAAACAACTGATTGATGAAATTCCGATTGTTTTATCTTGCTATTTTAATAATAACTTTTTCCCTTTTCCAATGTACATGTCCATCAATATATCAAACGATTGATAAAGATCATTCTTATTGTGCTCGAAAAATATCTTTACAGAGTTTGCCACCAACAAACAAAGAAATTGAGCTTATTTTAGAAATGCATAATCAAGAACGATTTGATGTGAATGCTATAGATATGCAAAAAATGGTAATATATAAAACAGTATATTTTTATTCAAAATTTGAACGTTATCTTATTTTAATGAATAGTATTGGAATGTAGATTTCTAGCTGATCATTGTAATTTCGATCATAATAAATCGAACCAACGTCATAACTTATATAGCTATGGGTTATCTCACTTGGAATTCAACCATACAAGGTTGGGCTGATGAAAAACAACATTTTGTATATGGCAGTCATGTTCAACATGGTATTGTTGGACATTATACACAAGTATATTACAATGACGCGATATTTGTATAGATGGTGAAAAATACAGCAGTACTTATTGGATGTGGATTAGCTATATGTCCCAAGAGTAAAGTTGATCCTAATCACAATTGGTTACATTATGTTTGCAGTTAGTATACTTCTTTTGATTGAAAAAATAATCATTTTTCTCTCTCTTATTTACCATATATTTGTGTTTTTTTATTTAATATATAGACAATTAGGTGATTATAAGTCATACACACCTGCTGATTCTTCTCAATTGAATAACAAACGATTATATGGTTTAATTTTATTTTTATAGAATAGTTTCAGTAAGATATTAGTTTTATTGTAGATTGTCATGGCTTGGTATGTCTTTATGGTGGAACTATCGATCGTAATCTATGTCAATGCCAATGTCAATCTTATACATCAGGAAATCAATGTGAAAATCTTGATTGTTCATCATTACAAGATGATTGCCAATACGGAACTGATCAATCATTATGTACAATATATTCAAATATTCCAACTGAATGTCCTAAATTTTGTGGTTTATGTAATCGATACGATGCAATGAAAAAATATTATAATTCACTTGAAATATCAACAAGTAATGGCATTGAAACAATAAGAAATATTTCAGTTTTTATTCAAATAATCATTGTACTTTTGTACTTCTCTTGATTAAATAATATAAATACATGTATACAAGAAAAACAAAACTAAAAAAAATGTGTCACTCGGGTAAATCCTCATCATCTAATGTAGACATGTCTTCTGGATGTCGTAATCGATAGATTGATGTTAACATACGAAATATAAAATTAGCTGGTACTCGTATCGTACTTGATGTTTCTTCAAGCATTGCATGATTACGTTTTACAGTACGATTTATACGTTCAGTATCATCGATTGGTATTTCAGCCAATGGCGAAAATATTTTTATATCACTAAAATAATATTTCTATAATCATTCAAATCATTAGAAGTAAAATAACTTACTAATCAATTCCACTTGATGCTAAAATTGGATAATTAAGTGGATGAGGTTGTACACAATTAACTACATGTTCATCAGCTGGTATAATTCGTATAATATCTCCATTAAATTTATCCCATATGAAAATATGTCTATTTCAGAAAAGAAAATACTTTTAAAACTATTAATAAAATTTATTTACCCGCAATCAGAACCAGACATAACATAACTATCCGACCAAAAATTAGCTTCTTTAATCATTGTACGTGCATTACGATGACCTTCATAAGAATTAATTAAACCTAAACTAGGAATATTTTTCAAAAGATTTTCTTCTTGTGAACGTTCAGCTTCACGACATTTTCGTAGACGATCCCATTTACTAGAAAGAAATGTACGTGCATGTCTTGATGATTCAGTAGTATTTGTTGTTGTTTGTGATTCTTCCTAAATTATTGATAAACTATTATTTATGAAGAAATAATTTAAAATTTTACATCATCATCGTCATCATCATCATCTTCGTCTTCATATTCTGTATGTAATCGTTCATTCTCACCATATATAAGATCAAACACATGACTAGGCTAAAAACGAAGATATATAAACTAAATAGAATAGTTTTCGAATAAAATTTACATCTGTCTCATCATTATTAGAGGTTCTCGTTGAGGAATCTACTAAATGATCATTGTTTTCAGTAGAAACTGAAGATTCATTTGCTGTAGTCGTTACATCTGTTTGTTCAGTTTCCGATGTTGAACTTGTGACTAATTGCGTTAAAATATCACTCATACGTTGCATAAAAAAATTCTGCAGATTACGGTTGGGTGATTGTTGTTCATTTGATGAATCAGATTGAACAGGTACTGTTTCAGTTTCTTCTACTACTACTTCTTCTTCTTCATTGGACGGACGAGACTCTGGACCTAAATATTCATATTATAATAATTTCTTTTTCTCTACTTTAATTGATAAGATAAAATACATACCTGTATCACTCCAATCACCTCGAAGACGTAATCTTTTCACAGGTGAAGTTTTATTTTCTTTATCTTGCGTATTATTTAGTACTGGTTGATTTTCATTCAAATTTGTTTTTATACGTTTATTATTTTTATGTTCAACAAGACGTTCTTGCATTTGTTCTTGTGATAATACTTGTTTTGGATCAAGTAAATAGATTGATTCAGATGAGTAAGATGCTAAAATTTCTGTACCATGTGTATTAAATACAACGGATGTTATACGAGATTGATCTTGTTTTCTTCGATCAGAAAGTGAAAAATAGGATATAAGACCATTTATAGATGATGATATTGTTAATGGTACTTGAGTAGAAAGTTTTCGATGATCATAGAGACGAACAGACTATGTAGAAAAAATTATTTCATATTTCGTTTGAGCCGAATAAAAATTCTAACTTACAGAATCTGCACACGCACAAACAATTTCATTTGGATTCATTGGATTAACATCCATTGATGTAATACCCCAATTACTTTTTATAAGTACATCATCTTTACATTGATCTTTTAAACATTGATTTTTTGTTCTTAAATCATATAATCGTACGGTGCAATCATCTAAATTTATTATTTTTTTTTCTATTAAATATTATATTTTTCATATACATACCAGAACATGATAAAAATAAATTTGGTGTATGTGGAATAGTTCTTACTTCATAGGCAGTTGCTGATCCATGGCATGTAAAACATCCTTCTTGTGAATGTGAACTATTTGGTCGATCAAAATTCGTATGAAAAATAACACCATCACCTGAACATGAAACAACTCGTCGATCATTTGTTTCTGGTAAAAATTTTGCTGAAAATATATTTTCTCTATGACCACTATGAACTTTAGTTAATACTTTTTGTGTATAAGGATTTGTTACAATTAAATTTTGATCATCAGAACCAGATAATATAGTTGTACCAGATTCATTCCACCAAATTGTATTAACACAACCTCGATGAACATTTAATTTATAATCAAGATTTAATCGTCGTGTTATTGATGAAGAATTTTTTAATTTAACAAGAAGACATCGATGAGGAAGAAGACCATATTGACGATCTGATAAATAGGGCATCTAAAAGAAGTTAAAAAACAACATTTGTTTCTTTAAAAATATTTTGTTCTGAAATGAACAACACGGATCAAGCGTTGTGAGCATGCAGAACACGTTCGATGACTCACCGAAGTATTATTTTAGAAAAGTTGCACTTGAGAGGGCGCTGGAAGTAGAATATTTTCTATAAAAATCTCATTTTTATGCATTTAATTACGATCAACAATACAATTGAGTAAGGGAAATACATTTTGCAATAAAACATTTTTTCAAATCTTTCTTATTTATTTCAAAAATCGTAGGTGGACGATACTATTATGCAAAATAGAAAAAAAAATATTATTATTTGATCAAAAAGAAAAAAAGAACTCTTACAAATTTTTGTGAAAAGAAATAAATTGATTAGGATACGAATTATATATAAGATGTGAAAATAAGTAAAGGAGTATAAAGATGATGAATAATACTCAAACAATGATACCTCCACAACAGTTATGGCGAAAGAAATTTCCAGCGATTATATCAGGAATATTTTCATTTATTCAATTTGTACTTATGGTTATTATTATCGGATGTGAAGTGGGTAGTATGTTGATTGATATTGTAACTGCTACTATATATGTTGGTCTCTGGGCAAGTTTATTCTTTATGATTGCATGGATTTCACAAGCAACATCTTGTATGAAACTATTATTTTGATTCATTTCATTTTATCTGATTCTTTTTATAGCATGTTGTTGTCGTAATCGTGGATGTGCAACGTATACATTGATTGCTCAGTGTATTTCCTTGTTTTTTGCTATGTGTATTATTGGTTTTGATGCTTATTATATAATTTCTCCTACTACTTGTTTTTTTTCATCATACATATGCAGTAGCTCAGCACCTGCTCGAGGTTTATTTTATTCTAATGAAAACTTTAATAATATTAAAATACCATTGATCAAAGGACAATTGGCTGCTGGTTGTCTCATGTTTATTATATGTTTAGTTTATATCGTTATATATATAATAACAAGTATCCGAGTTCATCGAGCTAAACAACCAAGAACTATTTATCCACAGGTACAAAATCCTTTTACAGCTCCATCTACAATATCGAATGGTATTTTAACTGCACCACCGATTACTAATTATTCTACACCAACGACGCTCTATAATAGTGAAATTGTATGTCCAACATGTAAAACAGTAATGAATATGACTCCAAGTAAACGACCACCAATGTAATCATCAAGTTTCACAATCATGTATTTTATTACAAAAAAAGACAAAAATTTAATTTTTATATTTAATATACTATCGATTAGATTGACAGAATTATAAAATAAAATGGAATCAAAAATATGTTTTTTGCCGAAATGTGAAATGCGTCTACTAATTTTTCTTTTTCATAATTTTATTAAAATCACTTTGAATTTATGAAAAAGTGTTGCTCTTTAGTAAGTTATACTGAGAAACTTTTCTCGATAATGTGTTGATCACGACATCTACTTTGTCTTTGCAAATATCGCATTGACGATAGGGGAAGGAGAAGCGGTATGTGTAAAGATGAAGCAGATGTTGTGATCTACACATAATCGAAGAAGTTGCTTATTACAGTTTAATAAGAGAGCAAATGAACAAAGTTGGCATCGAACGTTCACAAAAAAGTACTCCGCGGCCAGATGTGTCGTACAAAGAGCTACCACGACAAGTATTAATATTCTATCTGCACATAAAATACTCACAGCTTACAGGATAGTGTACTAATTATCTTAACTAACATAACAAATAAGATTACACGAGTACGTGTGACGTGTATATTTGCTTATGCTATATTTAATATATTAATAACAAAAAATGATTCAATTTCATTTTATTCATAGGTTCCAAATCAAAGTCACAGTACAAATAATCAATCGGCTATAATTCATGTTGATAAAGAATCTGATATAACAAAATTTTTAAATGGGGTTGATAATATTCAATTAGTTATTGAGAGAATTGATAAATTTACAGAAGAAATTAAAAAAATTTATGTTACAATGCGTGAACCTATGGCAAATTCAAATTTAGAACAAGAACTTGATAATAAGACAGAAGAAATCAAAAAATTATTTTATGAAATATCGACGAAACTAGAAAAAATGCACCAATCACTAGAATATCAGTCTGGTTTTGATATAAAAAATGCTCAACGACGTATAAAAGAATCACAATTATTTGCATTAACATGGCATTTTAATAAAACAATCATTGAATACAAGAAAGAAGCTTTTTCACATCGTGAACGATGTTTAAAAGAGATTTCTCGTGTACTTGAAATACATAGATGTAGAATAAATAGTGACGAATTAGAAGAAATCCTTGAAAATGGTTCTTCAGAAACGTTTCCTTCTAGTATAACTATGTTTCAACAAGCACGACAACTATCAAATAAAGCTAAAGAACATTATCGTGATATAATTAAACTTGAAGCTTCAGTTACAGACTCAAATTGGTTTCGTGATTTAGCTAATCTTGTTGCCGATCACGGTGATATGGTTGATTCTATTGAACATAATGTTTCAATAACAATGGATTATGTCGAAGTTCCAGCAAAAGATGTACAAAGAATTAAAAAAACAAAAATTATTCTTTTTGTAA